CGTGCCACTTCTTATATACGAATCTGATAAGAATCGGATAAGATTCTTAGGAAAAGCAGACAAGAAGCTGGCAAGATCCTTACCAGATTCCCGTCCAATTCTTATATAAGAATTGACGACTAGGGCGAGACATACGAGAATAAAAATTTCGTTATGTTACTTACTTGACTACATTTATGTTTATGATATGACAAACTTGTTTCTTCCGCTTTTTTTAATGAATGTATTGAATGTTAACGGCTCAGTTTGACGTGACAGTAAGACTCTTAACTTTAAGTGACACGTTAACTTTAAGTGACACGTTAATGTTAACTGTATTTAGTGAACGACATTAAGGTTAAAGTATAGCTGGACTTTTTCGAAAAAACAAATATATCTCAGAAGTCACGCAGGATGGTAGAATAAACGCTGAAAGTTTCGTCGAGTTTGGACAACATTTTACATGTAGTGGGAGGTTTCCCATGGAATCCTCTGCTACTCTCAAAATTTGGTTTGTAGTGGAACTAGCCAAATTTGACGTGTGTCTGGATCATCCAATTGGCGCATAAAGTCTCTCTTAAATATAAATCCGAACGAATGCTTCTATTTCTCGCCAGCATATTGGGCAAGTTTTTAATAAATGACTACATGATATACAGGTTACGAGATGTCCACAGGGGATGCAAGCTAATTGTTTTTCATCTGTCAAACACAGTACACAAGGATTTGATATACCGGAATGATTTTGTGAGTGTTTTGATTTCGATTTATCTTCATTTGTTGTAACTGTGGTTGATTCCGTGGAGGCTGTTGAAGATACTGAAGTAGAAGATTCGTTACTAAATGATACCATGTTACCATCGCCTGACATCAAAAGAGATGAATGTGATAATGCTAATGTCATTGGTGCTGATACTATTTGTGATGAAGTTCCTGTTGTTTGTTCAGCAACCGTGTCGCTTTCTACAATGAAAAATAATACAATTATTTTCTTTCTCAAAAGATATTTACCTTTTGTGTAAACAGTGAGATAGAGACGAGAACCCAATTATATTTGACTACTATCATTGTCATTATCCTGCTTATTCTTGTCACCTTTTTCTTGTGTCAATACGGACGAAGGAGGCTGTGGAACTGTTGTCACTTGAGTTGGTATTTGAAGTTGTTGCATTCGGTGAGCGCTGTTTAGTTGTTCTAATGCTATACTATTGTTTTTTCCAACGGAGTTTCTTGCGATTGCATTGTGAAGGTGAAACTGTGCACCATTTTCTGTACATTCATGGACTTGTGAAAACTCTTTAGGGTCAAAATTATTGTGAAACCAAATTTGCCGAATCTCATCAGTGATACCAAATATATATATATGTCTTACTAGAAGATATATTTGGGGAATTGTTTGCATGGCAAAATCAGCATGTATAAATAATATAATTTCATCTTGTGGATTTGCACTGATCAATTGTTTACAGGATTCAATATCGGAAGAAAATTCTACTGCAGAACATTTGAGAACAAGAGCATTCATCGATGGGCCAAGATAAATGATTTTTGATTTTGCTTCTTTTCTAAGTACCGACAGATCCATCTAAAAACGAATGAGGGGACATCTACATGAAACACACCATGGTCTAGAAAAATGGCATATGCTGCCCCTACATTTCCTAGCCTCATATTCTGAATATTGATCTTCGGACACCTGAGGTCGGAAGTTGATGCGCGTTTTGAGAAAATCGAATTTCAATTCTGGCTGTGCAGAAGTGCTTATTTTCAAGCCGTTCTGACTTATTCTGACTGCTATCGACATGGGGTTGTTGTTCGACAGGCTTATAAAATAAATCTCATGCTGCGCTCATGTAGCCCTCATAAAAAATTACTAGTTTCGATAAAATAATTTTCTCCACCCATGGTGGAATTTCGTGAGTTCGGTTAGTCTCTAGAAATTCCTTGCTTCTAATAACACTGTCTTAGTTTCCATAGCACGGAATTTGATGAAAACGTAATTGAATTGGCATTCTTTTGGTGCCGAACTCAAATAAAACCGTGGAAAATTTGAATGATGATGTCAAGATCACGATCTATTTTACCTTTTCCAAACGATTTTTTACTTGAGAAGTAATGAGCAGTTGAAATAGAGTACCTCTTGATATTCTGACATAATTTGGATGGATCTTGACTGGGCTATGAATTTTTTGATTTTACTCGAAACTAGGCACAAATGGGATATTTCGCCTAATACACGTTTCCATTAGGTTTTTGAAACTTTTTTGTAAACAAATGTTGCCACGAAATTCAGCATAGTCAACAACTTATGTTTTCATGCATCTATGGCAGTCTAAACCTAATGACAGAGAAGTCCTAAGGTTAGATAGATTTTTCACCTTATTTCTCACAACATGTCTAAATTTACAACCTCATTCGAATGTTTATGGGTCTGTGAGATACCTTTCACTGAAAAAATGGTTAGATATTAAACAGACCTATACCAGACAGATTTCTTTTCGAAAGCACAATAATGTCGTAGAATGGACACTCTTTAATTGTAGACGATTGTAGAAAGACGCATTTTTCTTCTACATGTTCGCTTACGTCTTTACTATGGGTTACTAATAGTAGGATTGATTTCTTACCCGACATGCTGCTGTACTCCTATCTATTTTATATCTTAATAAATTGACAAATTCATTTTTGGTTGGACCATCGTGTTGTTTCATCTTTTCAAGTCCTCTTTCGTACCATACTAATGCGTGTTTATGTTCATTTAGTCCTGAATGTTGATCACCGATATTTACACACATTTGTGCTACGTCGATTGCTAAGTCTGATATTAGATCTTTCTCATTGTTACAGACTAATTGTATTTTATGATACATATTAGTCCATTTTGAATGACCTTCAATATTTTGACATAAAATATAAATCAAATGTAACTGTGGAAGATCATGAATCGATGGAACAATTACCCTACCCAAACGGCCGGATGTTACCAAAAATATTCGTTTATTTTTTAAATGATCACGTATGAATTCTTCACATGAATCTATTCTTTCATAAATAAACCATTTGTCCGGCGAACTTAGAGTGTTATACACTTCTATATCACCAGTCATTTCAGCATCAAACCAAATAAATGCTACATCATCAAATTTTGATAAGTCAATATGTGGTAGATCCATGATGGTTGCTTTTACGATGCGTTCTAACTAAACTATAACGACGAGCCTATAAAATATCTGTTTCAGATATCATTCACGTCTCACTATTTATAAAAGAAAGATGAAATGTGTTTGTTTATGCTTCAATGAATTTGCCTTTCTATATCTTTTTTTTTTCGTATATTAGTTTACAATCATTTTTATTTTTTTCGTAACAATCGGAACAGCGACAGATTCAGTCTAGGAACAATCTTGATCAGACTAAATTTGAGAAGAAATAGCAATGTTCTGGTTTGAACGCTTTTAATACAGAAGTCTCAAAGTTAATTGTTCGCTTTATCATTTGGACAAGTTGACACTGACTTGAGTTTTTGAGCATACTTATAGTTGAGGCAACAGGTGTCGTCGGACGTATCAAAAAATACACTTAAGAATATCTGTAGGAGCAATAAAACATTTTCCTTTTCCGTGACAGCTTAGATTGTGACAAAAGACATGCAGTTTATTTAAAAAACTGTCTTAAAAATAGTTTTATATTTGTCTTTGCTAGTGCAACATTTCCATGTAAAAACACATTAAAACGCACTCAGACAGCAACATAGACTATAAAATAGGCTTGAACCGTACCAGAATTTTGCTCTGTTCAAAAAACGGCAAATTTTAGTAATATAGTACGTGATAACGTGCTCAGGCTTTTCTTCTCCAAAATATTGAACAGAGAAGAAAAAGTGTGGGGGGGGGGGGGGGGGGGCG